TGTGTGAGAGAGTGTGAGTGTGAGTGTGAGTGTGTGTGTGTGTGTTCACCAGCTCTTTGTTCTTCATGCACTCCATCAGCGTTTGGAAGAGATGCAGCGCGTCACTCTGGCTGAAGTTGAACGTTTTCTTGATTGTTGTGATGATGTCGGCCTCAACTCCATCAGGCAGCGCTCTACAAACACACACAAAAGGCTTTGTCTCGACTCAAGGTCTAATAATAAACAGAATGTAAAGCTAATATTTCTACAAATGTCCCCATCGAGCTCTTATGACAGAAATCACAGTAATAACATCTGACTGCTCACATAAGCAGATACGAGTCGTCACAGAGCTCAGAGATTTACACATAAATCATTGTGTGTGTGTTGTGTGTGTGTGTGAGTGTGTGTGTGTACAGACCTTGGCTCTGTATGAATGGGATCCTCCCTGGAAGTTGATGACTCCATAAGCGTCAGTGGGACTCTCCTCCGTGTGCTTCTCCACTGACCACTGCTCCAGATCGGACAGCTCTCCCTCGGTGAGACGCACGTCTGAGTATTTCACTGCCAGTGTGGCGGTGAAGCCCACGTGCTGCCGAACCAGACGCCCGCAGCAGCATCTACACGTGCACACACACACACACACGTCAGCACACGCTCCATCTGAACACCTTGATTGTGTGAAATGTATTAATGTCATGACACTCACCGCACAAGCTGCTGGCAGATTTGGCATCCTGGGAGGCATCTGCAGAAAACACACAGAAGTCATATTTGAGGGAAACCAGAAGTACAGTACCATTGTGTGCAGATGATCAGGACACGTGAAAAAAACAGAACTGAATGAAGTCATGCTGTAGTGCTTGTCTCACTGCTGCGTCTAATATGCCTACTTCCATTCTATATAGTAGGCGAAAAAGCACATGATAAGACTAGTATGCCCGAATTCTCAGCATTCATAAAACAGCAGGCGAAAAGTGGTGTGTCATGTGGTTGTGATGGCATTCAGACTTGATTCAGTTTGGACAAACCTGCACACTAAAGATTGAGCCTTTAATAATAACGTGAAGTGCATGATGTACCTGTGCGGGTCCTTCGACACGGGCAGAATATAGACACATTCCCTCCTGGTGAAAGTGTGTTCGATCCAGGACTTCTGGGACTGCAGGAGACAAACAGGATCAACATGAAGCAGCAGCACTTTTCAGACACTTCACTCACCCCTGACTAACATTTCACACTGAAAACTTTACATTTAAGTCTAATAATGATGACCAAGAACTGTAAAGTTACAACGTAACGGAAGCAGCATCAAATCTTTTCCTCCTTATTGTGACGTACATTAAATAAAAATAAAATAAAATTAATAAATACATAAACACCCAGGAATGAAATGTTCACAATAAGGTCATTAAGACGCAGATAGGATGAATTTGCATTTCATGCTGACATTAAAACATGCACATCTTTGTTCATACGGGTGCTGAATTAAACGCGCTGCTCGTGTTTGGTGTGAAACAGTCTAAACGCAGATTTTATATCAAAAATCAAGGACACTGCGCAAAGGGAACAAAAATGGCTTTAAAAATCAATATACAGTGTATTCATATTGAACTTCACAGGTGCAGCAAAATTACTAACAGAACGCTGGCTGGAGAGTGAAATGTAGGGCCTTATGAAATTTGTTTTATTTTTCCCAAATTCCAATTTTTTCCATTTTAATTTTTCTGGATTCCATTTTTTTCCTGTTTGAATTTTTCTAGACTCTGTTTTAATGGTTAAATTAAACTTTATTAATCAAAAAACACGTCTAATTAATTGAAATCGTGAAACGTACACAATTTAACAGCAATTTATTAAAAGTTTAACAAAAATTTAATTTTTATGGCCCTATGAATTATTTACATATTTAAGGCCCTATACATTTTTAGTTTTTTCTCAAATTTAGTTTTATCTTTACCAAATTCTGTGTTTTCCGTTAATTTTCTGGATTCCATTTTAAGGCTTTCATTAAATTTTAATAATCAAAAACATCTCTAAATAACTGATTTTATAAAAAAAAAAAACGAATTTATTATAATTTTATTTCTTTTCTTTTTTTTTTACTGTGCTGTGTATTTACATTTTTCAGGTAAATAATTTTACTGGTAAATATTCCTTAAAAAAACTGTTTTAATAATAATAATTTTAGTAGTAGTAGTATTAGCATTACAGTAATATATTCCCGTCACAATTTCTTCAAGTTAAACTGAACTTTTATTTTGACGGGCTGCTGTGAAGACCTTTGAGTTTCTGTGTGTATATGAGTTTTTCTCAAATGAAACAGTACAATGCTCATGAAGTGACTCTCAGGGCAGTTTCAGAGATTATGTTTATGTGTTCTTGTATTCATATATTGAGGCGGCAGAGGTGTAGTAGACGAAATTAATCGCTGTTCAATGCTTTTGGGCGAGAAACACGTGCCAGAAGTGTAAGCGTGTAAAAATGGATGTCAGAAGAATACAGATCATATTTATTTTGTGTTAGCATGAAGCTGCAGGTTCACAGTACAACACTTACAAAAAACAGTAAAATGCTGCAAATGTTTTTTTCTTGCACTTGAAACGCATTTTACACCTTTACAAATCTTCTCTTGCGCATGCAAATGTAATTTATACTTACAATCAGAAATCTTACCCTCTTTTTGTCATAATTTTTTAAATGACTGACTGTGACTCCTCCACCGTATCTGCTAAACTACCATTTACATCTGGACTAATCATGAGGTTTACAATAATAACCATAGAAACTACCATAGATCTGATCTCGAGACCCACCCAGATAGACAGAGAGAGACCAGCATTATAAAACAGCCACAGGAGATCTAGACACGATTCCCTGGAAATCACATAAAACCGAGCTTGATTCTGAGAAACTCTGGCCGTTTTTGCATGCAATATATTCATCAGACGAACATCAGCACAATGTCACATCTATTATTCTCTAATTAAAGCAATAGTTCACCCAGAAATGAACACCGTCATCATTTATGACTTCCCAAACCTGTATGACTTTCTTCTGTTGGAAACCAAAGAACATTGGACCCCATTGACTTCCATTATGTGGACACTAAACACGGACACATTTCTCACAATATCTTCTTCTGTTTTCCAGCGAAGAAAGAAAGTCACACAGGTCTGGAGCGACGTGAGGTCAAGAAAATGATGATTTCTGTGTGAACCGTTTCTTTATACCCGAGCTCGAGCAGCAGTCCGACGGATTTAACGCCAGGGATTTTTAATTAAATTTCCCAGAGTTCCTTTCTACTCCCAGCCTGAGCTCTCGGCAGCCCCGGCGAACACGAGCGGATTACACACACATTTCAGCAGAGACACTGAAAGCCATGAACACTGAGACGGAGATGGTGTCTGTCTACCTCAAACTCTTCATCTTCATCCTTCTGACGCAGCAGCGAGTACAGAAACATCGCTGAGAGAGAGAGAGAGAGACTGCGGGACTAGTTAGAGTTACACTGTGTTTCTCAGCACAGCTAATCAGCAAGAGGTCAAGCATATTAGAGAGAGCGAGAGAAAACAAAACAGCACAGAAAAATATGTGACAGCAACTGGCCATCCAAAAGTATGCCTACTTATAGACAATTTTCTAGGAAGAATTTATCCTCACAATCGAGATGGTGTCAATCTGGCAGTGGAGAACATCAATTATATATTTAAATATTTGACCAATCTATCTAGCCTCACATCCTTTAAGAAAATCCATAAAACAACACAAGAAAATGAAAAATGGTTTGATTTAGGCTGTAAAACAATGAGGAAAAAATTAAGACAATTAGTGAGTGAGTGAGTGAGTGAGTGAGTGTGAGTGAGTGAGAGTCTGATATAACTTTAAACAGTATCGAATTAATCAAAACACTTGCCTTTACAAACACACCAGTCACACACACACACACACAGAGAGAGAGAGAGAGAGAGAGAGGGGTGTGTGAATGAGCTTTTATCTAGAACCTAAATAAAACAATTTATCTTAGTACACGATGTAACTACAGAAGAGTCAAGTTTTAAATAGGAAAAATATAGAAACTCTTTGGTCATCAGACCCGGAGTTCGGCTGAATGGATTAGAAAACGGTAAACTCAACTGTTTAACTCTAGGGGAGTTGGAAAATGAGCCTATTTTCAAAAATAGTGGAGTGTTCCTTTAATGATCGTTTTTTCCAATTAAAGACGTCACTAGATGGGGCTAAAGGGAGTTTCTCCACAAACTCGCTCAGATCGCCGTCAGACCGTAAATTACAGTGTTTGAGCCGAACTGCTGAATCTCATATTTAACACACAGTTCAGCTGCTCGAGGTAAGAGAAAATTACAGCCTCTCTCTCTCTCTCAGGTATTACAGTAATCTTGAGCATGTGACTCTCTTAAGTTTCTGTGTGAAGACAAAATCTTGAAAAAAAAAAGACACTGCAAAATAACATTCCAGGACTTTCAAGGACTTGCACTAGTCAAGTCAAGTCAAGTCACCTTTATTTATATAGCGCTTTTAACAATACAGATTGTGTCAAAGCAACTGAACAGCATTAATTAGGAAAATAGTGTGTCAATAATGCAAAATGACAATAGTAAACACTAATTTTCCAGTTAAAGACAGTTCATCATTGAATTCAGTGATGTCATCATCCAGCTCAGTTCAGTTTAAATAGTATCTGTGCAATCATTTGCAATCAAGTCAACAATATCGCTGGAAATGAAGTGTCCCCAACTAAGCAAGCCAGAGGCGACAGCGGCAAGGAACCAAAACTCCATCGGTGACAGAATGGAGAAAAAACCTTGGGAGAAACCAGGCCCAGTCGGGGGGCCAGTTCTCCTCTGACCAGACAAAACCAGCAGTTCAATTCCAGGCTGCAGCAAAGTCACATTGTGCAGAGGAATCATCTGGTTCCTGTGGTCTTGTCCCGGTGGTCGTCTGAGACAAGGTCTTTACAGGGGAATAACATCTGTATCTGGGGCTCATCTAGTTGTCCTGGTCTCCGCTGTCTTTCAGGGCTGTAGAGGTCCTCTCTAGGTGCTGATCCACCATCTGATCTGAATATGTACTGGATCCGGGTGACTGCAGTGACCATCTGATCTGGATACAGACTGGATCTGGTGGCAACGGTGACCTCGGAATAAGAGAGAAACAGACTAATATTAGCGTAGATGCCATTCTTCTAACGATGTAGCAAGTACATCGGGTGTTATGGGAAGTGTTCCCGGTTCCGGTTGACCTAATTAATGCAGCCTAAAAATCCTTTAACGGATTTGAATATTAGAAGCGTATTAGTGTGTTATGTGTAAGCCAGGTTGAAGAGATGGGTCTTTAATCTAGATTTAAACTGACAGAGTGTGTCTGCCTCCCGAACAATGTTAGGTAGGTTATTCCAGAGTTTGGGCGCTAAATAGGAAAAGGATCTGCCGCCCGCAGTTGATTTTGATATTCTAGGTATTATCAAATGGCCAGAGTTTTGAGAACGCAGCGGACGTGGAGGACTATAATGTAACAAGAGCTCGTTCAAATACTGAGGTGCTAAACCATTCAGGGCTTTATAAGTAATTAGCAAGATTTTAAAATCTATACGATGTTTAATAGGGAGCCAGTGCAGTGTTGACAGAACCGGGCTAATATGGTCATACTTCCTGGTTCTAGTAAGAACTCTAGCTGCTGCATTTTGGACCAGCTGGAGTTTGTTTATTAAGCGTGCAGAACAACCACCCAATAAAGCATTACAATAATCTAACCTTGAGGTCATAAACGCATGGATTAACATTTCTGCATTTGACATTGAGAGAATAGGTCGTAATTTAGATATATTTTTGAGATGGAAAAATGCAGTTTTACAAATGCTAGAAACGTGGCTTTCTAACGAAAGATTGCTATCAAATAGCACACCTAGGTTCCTAACTGATGACGAAGAATTGACAGAGCAGCCATCAAGTCTTAAAGAGTGTTCTAGGTTATTATATGCAGAGTTTTTAGGTCCTATAATTAACACCTCTGTTTTTTCAGAATTTAGCAGTAAGAAATTACTCATCATCCAGTTTTTTATATCGACTATGCATTCCGCTAGTTTTTCAAATTGGTATGTTTCGCCGGGCTGCGAAGAAATATAGAGCTGAGTATCATCAGCAT